TACCAGTGCATCATCAGTCATCATACGCCTAGGGACGAAGGCACTCTGGTTTAAGGAGACAATCTGTCCCAACAATGGATGCAGTCTATTCACCAGGCATTTGGCGGCGATCTTGTACAACACCCAGTACAAACTGATGGGCCGGAAGTCCTTGAGTCTGGTCCGACTTGGGAATAAAGACAATAGCGGTAGCGTTTGTTTCGGATGGCATGTGTCCATTTGTCAAAAATAGCCTTACCGCAGCAATAACAGAATCCTTCAAGACAGCCCAATTTCTTTGATAAAACTTAGCAGGAAACCCATCTGGCCCTGGAGCCTTTGGTGGTTCTATTTGGAACAGTGCATTGCGATTTCCGTCTTCGATAAAATTAGGGAGGGAGCCCACCCAGTTGAAATCAGGGGGGCGGAGGGATTAATGGTTAGTCAAGTTATTATGTACTCCCTCCGTTCGGAATTACTTGTCACAGAAATGGATGTATCTAGACATATTTTAGTTGTAGATACATCCATTTTATCCACTTTTGAGATAAGTAATTTGAAACGGAGGGAGTAGGTTTTTTTCCCGTAAGTGTAGCATTTTTGGGCCCGGAAATATCATCCTTCTTGCAAAAAAACAAAAGTAGCTGACTCATGCACGTCTCACTTAGTTACAAAGCTCAACACGGACGGCGTCTACGACGACCATCTCACCGGCTCGCGGGACGAGCGTGACGTCCAGCCGCCGGTCCTGCCCGCACCCGAGGTCCTCAACCAGCTCCCGCAGCGCCAACCGGTACGTGAGCTTCAGCCTCCCCATGCCCCGGCCGCCGCCGTCGCCGCCGCCGTGCGGCAGGTTCTCGAAGCTCCCCGCGAACTCGGTGTCCTGCGGCCCCACCCGCGCCTCCTGGCCTTTGGGCACGTTGACGAGCACGTCGAACTTGGCGTACTCGCAGGGGTCAATGGTGACGTCCACCACCAGCACCTCCGGCGCCTTCTTGCTGCTGCCGCCGCTGGCCCGGGCCTCCTCCGGCCGCTCCACCGTCACGTACTCCTTCCGGCCCTTCTTCAGAGCCACGGGGAAGGAGAGGGCGGCAGGGACGCTTGGGCCGGTCGGTCTGTCTATGCCGGTCGCCGGCTTGGGCCGCTTGTCCTGCCACTCGAGTGTCTCCTTCTCCTCGTACGTGTACCCGAGCCTGCCGGCGTCGAGGACGTCACGGACCCTGATGCGCACGGGCCGCCGCTTCTCGTCGTAGAAGACGAAGCTGGTGTCGCGCCAGTCGTCGCCGCCGGTGCCGGTGCCGAGGAAGTCGTCGTTGCCGAGCGTGGTGGTCCACAGGTGCCACATGCGGTCGACGTTGGCGTGGTGCGAGTAGAAGACGGGGTCGCGCCCCGCCGTGCCGAGGACCCCCATGTCCCCGCCCACCCAGATGTGCACGGCGGTGTGGGCGGCGTTCTCGAGCGAGCCCGGTGAGCCGGGCGTGCCGCCGGCGCAGAACTTGTTCCCGTGGAACTGCAGGGCCGTGTCGACGGCCATCTGGCGGTACATGACGGAGAGGTTGTTCTCTTTCACGCAGGCGTCGTCCGTGCAGAGAGGAAGATCGTTTTCCGCGCCTGGGCCCTTGTTGAGGTCCATGACGGCGTTGACGTGCGCCGGGTCGCGATTGGCGTCGTAGAGCGGCGAGGACGCGTTGTTGAATATCGGCGGCAGCATCATCCCGTCCGGCGCGTCCCAGTTCCAGTACGGCAGCACGAAGGTGCTGTCGCCGATGAGCTCGCCGATGATCCGCTCGAAGAAGTAGATGTACATCCGGTGCCACGGCGCGAAGATGGACGAGAAGTGCACGTCGAAGTCGATCTCCGGTGTTCTCGAGGCCGCCGCGGTGACCTTGTAGTGGAAGTTGCAGTAGGCCTCGTGGATGGCCGCCTGGCTCTCGAAGCTGCGCGGGTCGCCGGAGGCGTCGAGATCTCTCATCATGCGGACGCCGGCCTCGTACTTCCTCACGTACTCTGCGTCCGCGGCGACGAGGTGGGCCGGCCGACGCACGCGCAAGGGGCCGTTCGGCGGCGGCAGCGCGCTGAAGTCGACGACGTCCTCGGGGCGGTACACGCCGGGGCACTGGAAGCCGTCGGCCGAGACGCACCTGATGACCTTGTCCGTGACGGGCACGGTGACGCACGTGGCCGGCACGGCATCGTCCGCGGCCAGCGCGAGACCGCCGAGGTTGATGGCGCCGGCGGCTCCGACCCCGGTGAGGCCGAGGAGCACGTCCCGGCGGTCGAGGCGGCGACGCACCAGGTCGTCGTCATCGCCGATGCCGGCACCACGTGACGTGGCTTTGCACTTGCATAACAGGCGACGGCGGCCCTGTTTGCTGCCCCCGGCCGCGGGCTTGCTCAGAGGAAGGCATGCAGAGGCGGCGGCCGTGGAGGGCAAGACGATGAAGCTAGAGCTGTCCATGCCGCGCGCGGACACGAATAATACAACCGTGGTGAGGAGCAACTTGTCATAAAAAGGGAGATGAAGATCGAAATGTCACGTGTACAAAGTAGACATATGCCTCTCTCAAAAAAAAAAAAGTAGACATATGCCTACCAGTGTGCAACCAACAACGGCATGAGACAAGACGTACGCCGGTAACGTCGACGTCGGACGGATCTCTCGTGTCTTCCGAAGATCGGCGAATGGTCGCAATGCACGTGTGCGGATCATTTTGCTGCAAATTAGGGCATCCTATTTCCTGCAAAATTAAGATTCTTTGGCAAGGAAAAGACGTCCACGTTCGACGACCAGTACGTACGTCTACCAGTCGCACCAAATTAAGGTCCAAGCAGACACCGCGTTCCACGGTCCATACGTACTCACGTACATACGTGTGTGGCCAGTGGCCATCGACACGCACCTTCCTACGTGCACCCCTACAAATATCGACGGTGAACTGCGTCGCAGTCGTACAGTATGAACGGCGACGCGCGGTTCAGTTTTCCGATGAAACAAAGGTGCGGTCAAAACATATTGGTGGCCATGCATGCATGCATTGATAGGTTTGGTCGTCTATTCTACTGTGCTTCATGCTGCTCCACACATGCATGCACACAGCTGTACCAGTGAATTTTTTTCTTGAGGTCCACGCACGCTACGCCATGCCACCATTTTACCAGCTAGTAGTATTTTCCGATGAAAATCAACTTGCAGCTGTCAGATAGCAACTTTCAACAAGTAGGGAATAAATCCAAGAAGGATCAACTAACCTAGTTGGTGAAGATAGACCTCCTCTTTCCAAAACACCATGAAGAAATGTTGGTTTGGGCAGGAGACAAACTTAGTGTAAAAGAAAAAAGAAAAAAAATCCCTCTCCCGGTCAGCAACAGAGAAACCCTCGCATCTCAAACGGAGCGCCCACGGGCTGTGTGGCTGTGCCTCCCCCGTCGTCAATCGTAAAGCCGCGATTCCCCGCCGCGCCGGCTGCCGGATCCGGCGTCCTAACCAACTGCCTCTCCTAGTCTCCTTCCGATCTTCTCAAACTATTGCTAAATTACAGTGCACGCACACTCTGCCGCAAAGGTAATAAGTAATCTGCAACTCTGTACTCCCTCCATAAAGAAATATAAGAGCGTTTAGATCACTAAAGTAGTGATCTAAGTGCTCTTATATTTGTTTACAGAGAGAGAATCATCTAATTCTTTTCCCTAATTTTTCTATATCAGGCAATCTCCGTGAATTGGTGGTGTTAAATTGTATTGCTTAGTCAGTTTTATTGCATTGTCATCAGGAGATTAGAAATCCAAGATGAAGAGGCCCCATACAATTGAATCTTTTTTTCAATCAACATCCAACCAGCCTCCATACTTTTCGCAAAAAAAAGAACCAGCCTCCATCCAACAATACCACCACTGATGTATCACCTACAGAATCTGCAGGAGCCGGAGCTAGTAATGCAGAAGAAATTGAACCACGTGTGGAGCTTAATCCAGATGACATTAATCTTGATCCCGGCCTTCGAAAACCATGATGAATCACCGTTCGGTGTGCTATATTGAGCGTGATGTATTTGTAAGCATAGATGATATTAAGATTATACAATGCTATAAAAAATGAGGAAACAAAAGGGGCTACTACCTCGTGGACTTCGTGTTAATGGTATAATATGTTCTTTTTTTGCAAAATAGTGATTTATTCTATGTCCACTGTCTTGATTTTAAATACTTGATTTTATGTTTGCAAATCCAGGTCCTTGTACTACTGCTGGTGAAGAAATGATGGCCTTGAATTAAGCAAGTCTTCACTAATTTGGTGCCAAACCATTTTTGCAATGATGCACTTTGTTAAACTATTTTTTTATGGAATTTCCTCTCATGATAATAATGAATTTATATTTTGTTTTGAATGTGTTTTTGTGGCATACTTATAAAGCACACTGATGTGCGTGGTATTTGACGTTATATTTAGCCAAGTAATTTTAGCCCTAGGCTTTGATAAATCCTGGTTATGTCTCTGCTTTCGGGGGCCTCTTCTAATGCTCTTTTTTGTACTAGTGCAAGGTACCGATTAATGAATGACCAGATTCTCTAGGTTTGTTCCAATTTACATTTTGAGCCAACCCTAAACATTTACGAATAATCAATGTACATTTGTGAATTTCGCAAATCAAGTAAAATGGAGTACATGTAAACTTAAATAAAATTTAAATTTATTAATGCATAGCTTAATATAGTGCATAGATTGGTGTTGCACAAATTTAGCTCCATCCCCATTGTCAATTATGTAGGTGCACAGCAAAACTCAATCATGGAATTTAGGTGGGTAATATAGGCACTGTTAACTTATAAACACTTTTTAGATTTTTTTTTTGAGAAACTTCTTGGAATGTTGCATGCATTTCCACGGGCCATTTAATTTAAAATACAGCCCAACTTCCAGTCCCGGTTGTCCAGTAGCCCATTAGTCCATTGTCCCGTTAACCCTAATCCGCACGGACACGCCGCCGCCGGCGGCGGCATCGTCTTCAACATCTGATCGATCGATGGACACCGGCAGGATGCTGTCTGAGTCGTACCGCGACGGCGCGAACCCACGGCGAAGTGCAGCCATTCCCATTTCGCGCTTCGGGAAGGCCGTCCTCCTCTGCTCGGCCCTGTTCGCCGCATGGCACCTCTGCTCGACCCTGTTCGCCGACGCGCCTCCTGGTCCTGGAGCCGTCGCTGCGGTAGGCGGCGACGCGTCGTGCCTGCCTCTCGCCACGGAGGCCGGCGTCCGGGGGGCGGCCGGCACGGGGAGCAACTTCGTCTTCTCGCCGCTGTCCATCCACGCGGCGCTCGCCATGGTGACCGCCGGCGCGCGGGGCGACACGCGCAGGGAGCTCCTGCGGTTCGTCGGCTCATCGTCGCTCGACGAGGTGCACCACGCGCCGGCGAACGATTTCGTAGGCAGGCTCAACGGCCTAGCGCAGACCTCCTTCGCCTGCGGCGTGTGGGTCGACCGGAGCCTGGCGCTCAGGCCAGAGTTCGCCGCCACCAGCGCGTCGCGGTACGGCCCCACGGCGGAATCCGTGGACTTCGTGTCGGGCGCCGAGCAGGCGAGGCAGCGCGTGAACGCCTACGTGGCGGACGCGACGAAGCAGCTCATCCGCGACATCCTCCCTCCCGGCTCCGTCGACTCGTCCACCGCGGTCGTGCTCGCCAACGCGCTCTACTTCAAAGGAGCATCGTCTCAGCCGTTCGACGTCTCCACGGCGCCGTTCCACGTTCCAGGCGGCACCACGGTGGGCGTGCCGTCCATGACCACAGGCCGGTCACAGTACATCGCGCTCTACCCGGGCTTCAGGGCACTCAAGCTGCCCTACAAGGACGACGTGCTGCGGCAAGCTGATGCATTCTACATGCTGATCCTTCTCCCGGACAGCGGCACACTCAGTCTCGCCGATCTCTTCGACAAGGCGGTGTCGACGCCGGAGTTCATCACGAAGCACACGCCGGTGGAGGAGGTTCCGGTCGGGCGGTTCATGGTGCCCAAGTTCAAGTTCACGTTCGGGTTCGAGGCGTCGTCGGACATGCAAAAGCTTGGTGTCACCAGGGCTTTCTCAGGCGGTGACTTCTCAGGCATGGTGAGCGGCGGAGATGGGCATGGGCCGGTCTCCATCTCCCGGGTGTACCATAAGGCCGCCATTGAGGTGGACGAGCAAGGCACCGTGGCCGCTGCTGCCACGGTCGTACTCTTGGATGGTGCCACGCTTGAGGAAAGGGAACCACCGCATTTATTGGATTTTGTGGCTGATCGGCCCTTCTTATTTGCCGTGGTCAAGGAGAGGACAGGAGCCGTGTTGTTCCTTGGTCATGTGGTCAATCCTCTCGCGGGCTAACTGAAAACATAATGATTCTGTAATATGTGTAATCCTTTGGTTGTGGAATGGATAATTGAACATCTGGAACCAACTAACTAATATTTACTCCGTTTGTTCGGAAATAAGTAGTGTGGTTTTAGTTCAAATTTGAACGGAGCGGAAGGTAGTTAAATGGTTTGTTTGGTTCAGCCTTCTGAACCGGATTCATGTCCAGGAACTCAGAAACCCAACCAAAGAAGCAAATCATGTGCAGTTCAGAAAACTCCTAATTATGCCCTAGCATTGATCTTAAGCAAGCAAAGCTTTTATTTGGGAGTGCAACACTCACTATATACTCCTATGATGTAGCAATACACGGCTGGGACTCTCTACACATTTTCCTTTCCTGAACAAGTACTGTTTTCTGAACTTACTCATGTGTTCAGTAGAAGGATCACCTCTGTTTGCTAAGTACTCCTAATTTTGCTCTGGCATTAATCTGGGACATGATTTTTTTCAAAGGATTAGTTTACAGATGCAAGGAAGTGTTGAAAGATAGCTAAACTTAGTCTTCCATAGAGCATTTGGGTTACCAGCTTCATGTAACACAGATGTCGTCTGCGGTGTAAAATAGTTTCTGTGTTGAGAAATATTTATTCAGGTCCTATATGTGAAGATGATGAGTCCTACATCATATATAGTTTCAGATGTGTTGTTAAGAAGAGAGATTGTGTGGTTAAACAAATTAATAAAGAGAACAGGTTTAAGAAGAATTTTGTAGCCAAGTGGGTGATTGTAGAGATCATGAATGAAGCACCTCTGCATCCCCAAGAGGGTTTGCTGATTACTGATCGACTGTTGTACTTTGTACTGTTGGATCCTCATGTACTACTTATTCTACAAAGACAATGCTGGAGAGATTTGTTCCACTTGCTTCTGCCTGAGCAGGCCAATTGAGTGATCTCTGTACATATCGATGGCGAACTCACCTGGACAGGTATATCAGGTTCTGCCTGGCATTTGTTCCACCTGTCACCTCTGTTTCAGTTGTCAGTTTGTAAAGCCCTGGCATTAGTCTGAGACTTGATCTTTTGGATAATAATTCAAACTCTTAAGCAAGACGTTAATCTTATTTTGTGAACATCATCACACACTGGAGCATCTTCAAAGGATTACTACTGGATCATATCCAAAGGATTACTGCAGCCCAGCCTTCATAGATTCCTGAAAGTTAGCTAATTCAGATGATTAATCCATGGATTTCACCCTGAACCTGAAGCTGCATTGGGTACTTGAACGCTAACTCAATCTATTCTGGAGGGAATAGCTTGTAGTACATGTGAAACAACAACTGAATGTAATTGCCAGATGTTGTACAACCATACCCTAGCTCTACAGCGAAAAAGGAAAAAAAAGGATTTTGTAGTCTGTCAGACAACCACTGGGCCACCCTGTAGAGGCAGGAGCCAATTCAGGAACGATCCTCTACAGCCAACGGATGCAACCCATCAGGTGAATCCTAGCCGTTAATCACGCTCTGGCCCAGAGGTCAGAATGCATCAACCAGACTGAAGTGCTTGCCTCCTTATTGGTAAAGGATGCAGCGGTACGAGCCTATAGAACAGATCCTGTTCAAGTAAGGTCGTGCTACAACCAGCAGCGTCTCGCCTTATAAACCACTCTAGCGTTCTCTAAACTAGCGAGGTGGGACTAATTAGAGAGCAGCCATGCAGCAGCGCCTACTCGGCCAGAGCATGGAACGGCTGGAAGGGCAAGCGGGTCATGGCCCATGATGTACTAGGTGGGCACGAGAATGATCAAAGCCCAGCTCATGTGAGGAATTATTTATGGTCTCTCTTTTTTGCGAATTTGAAATTATTTATGATCTCGTTGTCCATTTTCCATTTTCGTTGCATCAGCTGAGGAGTGTGGAGATATTGAAGCAGTTTAATATCTACTGCTGCATGGCCTATACTTTCCATTTATATTTACGAAAAATGGAAAGTTCTTACCTTTTTTTCAGTGACACCTACTCTTTTTTCTTTTCCAAATTAAATTGCAGCTGGCCATTAGAAGTAGCAAGACTACACACTGCCAGATTGGAGACATCACACAGAGACAGAGCATACACTTGTTTGGTATACTACTTTGGTGGCATTTACAGCATCTTTCCAATTCCAAGCAAAGGAAAGTCTTGTTTTGAATTCCGCGGCTGGACTGCCTTTCATAACGGGACTGTCTACACAACATTTTTCAAAGTGAAAGGTGCAGAGTTCCATCATTTTTTTAACGGGACTGCCTTTGTTTGGGCTATAGATTCTTGAGAATCGCTATGGCAGTGATTCCTGAGAATCAGCTGCAGCTGCGGATTCCCGAGAATCAGAAGCGGGCCGTTTGTTTATCGTATTGTTGAACAGCTGCAGGAACCGGGAGGACTGTGAAATGTTCGTCTCGCCCCTGAATACTAGAGCTTCAGGCATAGGAGGTGAACCTTTGCAGGGGAGGTACTGCTCGAGGCTGGCGCAGGTGGAGCTTGCGACGGGTGGCGCTAGCCCGCGAAGGTGCTTGTCGAAGGTCAAGGGCAGGCGCTGGCAGAGCTCGTGGGCGGCGGTTAATGGTGGTTGAGCGTGGCGCAGGAGGATGGTGACTGGGGGCAGGACGGAGGATGCTCGTCGGAGGTCAGGGATGGGGTGAGGCGCTGGGATCCGCTACTTGGGCACCGACGGTGGCGGCGCAGGAGCAGCCGTCGGAGCCTAGCCGCCTCTCGCTGTGTTGGTTCGGGTGGAGAAGAAAGGGGATCGAGGGGATGACAGGAGATGGGAAGGGGCGTGTTCTGTTTCCTCCGTGGCATTTGCTCTGTAATAACGGTCAGAGCATTGGGCTGACCTGAAAACGGGCTTGGGAAGCTCGGGAATCAGCGATTTCGCAGCTTCCGATTTTGGGCTCGCTCGTACTAGTACTCCAAAATCGATTCTAGGAATCCCGGTCGAAAGCTGAGTGTTTGTTTACGATTCAGCTGTTGGAAGGGCCAGAATCCAGGAATCGGAAGCTGCAGCCCAAACAAAGGCCACCTAAGTACGTACTAAGAGACAGACTGAATACAAGCGCCATGTTGCTAAGGAAGAACTTCTTCCTCCCATCTTGCTCATGTGCCATGTGTGGTCTTCAGAGTTTAGACAGTAGAAGCAAGGGATCACCTCTGTTTCAGCTGCCAGTTTGCTAAGTACTCCTAATTATGCCTGGCATTAATCTTGGATATGTTGTTTCGATATGTTTCAAACACTTAAGCAAGCAATCACTAAGCCTTCTTTTTCTTGAAAACAAACACCCACTCTTGTCTCCTGTACATGCTTTACCAGGAGTTACCACATCTTCAGAGGATTACTTTACGGATGCAGGAAAGTGTTGAAAGATGAGCTGAATCGTAAAATAATTTGGGTTGCTAGCTTCATATTACACAGATCCATGTAAAATAATTTTGGTTTGTGAGAAATATTTTATTCAGGTCCAATGAAGATGAGTCCTGCAGAAATCAGTCTGTACATATTTATTCAGCCGCGAGTTTCATGCCATCGGGGTCAATTTCCTCTCCCAGGTCAGTAGTAAAATTATCTTACTGCTACCCTCACTGTCATATGATCCATCTACTGGTCTTGTAGTCAATTACCTTGGGCAGTACAACACTAACTGGATCTAGACTATTTTGTACAAATGGATGCAGTGTGACATGTCGAGTCAGATCAAGGCGTTGAATCGGCCTGAACAAGAACCAAACCACTATTAATAATTTCCTCTCCCAATATTATACCATGAACTCAAGCATACATAGCTTGTGATGTATGATGAAGGAGGGAGATTTGTTGGTTAAACAAGTTTGAAAAGAAAAATGTACCTGCAATCCAGATCCATTGTAGTAGAACTGAATCATGCATAGTTCCCAAGAATATTGGTTTCCACAAGATAAAAAGAGGGTTGCAAAAGCAACGAAATTATTGTAGTGTGATCAAGGAGAAATGGTTTTCAGAGAGTTGCAAAAGCAAAAAAAGAATTGTTGATGTCTGTCAGACAACCTCTAGGCCACCCTGCACCAGTTTAACCAGGCAGGAACGATCAACTGCAGCCGTTGGATGCACCGATCAGATGAATCCAGGCTGTTAATCACGCTCTGGCCTAGAGGTCAGAATGCAATAACCAGACTGATAATATCAGAAATCTACTTGCTGCAACTCTACTTGATCGAATAGTATCAGAAATCCCACAAGTCAAGGTATAGCACGGCCTCTGACTGCCATCCTTCCTCGGTGTGGAGCACGGCGGTGCATCCTCGGCGCCATCCTCGACCTCGCCAGAGGGAGGCGCGCACACACGACTGGCGACTGGCGACAACGCGGCACGACGCAGCTTATGCTTGATGCGCAGCAGCTGAATTGCTATGGATGAATGCATATCAGGGACCAAAAAACTGAAACCCACTTTGGAACATGGTTTCAACCGATAAGTGAGGATGAACCCAGGATGAGCAGATAACTAGCAACCCCGGAAAAAAAATAGTATTGCACCAGCCGGGAATCGAACCCGGGTCTGTACCGTGGCAGGGTACTATTCTACCACTAGACCACTGGTGCATTTGACTGGCTGTAATTCGAGGGAATCGGAGTAATCATGATTAGTAGGTCTGCCTCTTCGATTATAAGTTGTACAGAAATCAGTCGTTGTACACATTTTCCTTCCTGAACATACTTGTTCAGCCAGTTCAGTGTGAAACATCTCATTGCTACTGTCACTGAGTAGTTCTGATTCTTGATTACTTTGGACACATGGATGCAGTGATGAAGGCTCAAAATTGGCCTCGACGACAAACCAAGCCAAGCATCTGATCCATGGACCGGTGGGTGTTGTATAAAAGCTTGAGCTGTGAAGCAAAAACTTTGAGTGATCAAGCTCCTTGACCAGGTGCAGATATATGTATGGATCATGCATGTGGTCAGTTAGGCTTTTGTTACCTTCGGTTATTTTTGCAGTGACCTGTTACTAGTGCA